TACAGATAAGTTTATCACAGTAAATCGTATTTTATTGATTGACATTGATCTACTACAGATAAGTTTATCCCAGTAAATTGTATTTTATTGATTGACATTGATCTACTACAGATAAGTTTATCACAGTTAATCGTATTTTATTGATTGACATTGATCTACTACAGATAAGTTTATCACAGTAAATCGTATTTTATTGATTGACATTGATCTACTACAGATAAGTTTATCACAGTTAATCGTATTTTATTGATTGACATTGATCTACTACAGATAAGTTGATCACAGTTAATAATATCTTATTGATCGACATTGATCTACTACAGATAAGTTGATCACAGTTAATCGTATTTTATTGATTGACATTGATCTACTACACATAAGCTTATCACAGTTAATCGTATTTTATTGATCGACATTGATCTACTACAGATAAGTTTATCACAGTTAATCGTATTTTATTGATTGACATTGATCTACTACAGATAAGTTTATCACAGTAAATCGTATTTTATTGATTGACATTGATCTACTACAGATAAGTTTATCACAGTTAATCGTATTTTATTGACACTGACTCTGATATTCTGTTTATTGTAAGGTGACATCATCAGCTCATTGAACACAATTATCATACGCAGTCTAGGAACTGTCTACTTCATTTTTACATGAACAATATTTTTATATATTTAAGGCACATAGACACGATGTGTTAATCATGGTCCATGTAGTATTATATGACACACAAACAAATATCCACAATAGAAACCCGGTGTTTATGCAGCCTACTATTACTAGTATACTGGTACAATACTATATCTGTATTAACATATCAGCCTACTATTACTAGTATTCTGGTACAATACTATATCTGTATTAACATGTCAGTCTACTATTACTAGTATACTGGTACAGTCCTATATCTGTATTAACATATCAGCCTTCTATTACTAGTATACTGGTACAATACTGTATCTGTATTAACATATCAGCCTTCTATTACTAGTATACTGGTACAATACTATATCTGTATTAACATATCAGCCTACTATTACTAGTATACTAGCTGGTACAGTACTATAACATGTCAGCCTACTATTACTAGTATACTGGTACAGTACTATAACATGTCGACCTACTATTACTTGTATACTGGTACAGTACTATAACATGTCTGCCTACTATTACTAGTATACTGGTACAGTACTATAACATGTCAGCCTACTATTACTAGTATACTGGTACAGTACTATAACATGTCAGCCTACTATTACTAGTATAATGGTACAGTACTATAACATGTATATGGATTGTATGTTTTATGACAGTTCAAAAGTGTATACTATTTGTTGTTTTCTGTTTTACTGAACATCAAGATATGTGTTTAAAGTCAAGATTAAGTTATCTGCGAAATAGATACTTTCACATCTCCAAATCACAAAATTGTCATCAGTGTCAATTGAACTTGTTCACAAAAAAACAAAACCCAATGAAAACACTGGCTATACAGTATTCAGGTTTTGTACTAGTCACCTTGGCAATCATTTAATTTAAGTCACCTTGACCTTAACTTAAATTTAGTGTCATCAGAAATCTTGACCCTTATTTCACCTATTTCACCCCTATGTAACTAACATAAACTCTAGCTACTATAAATTGATCTGGATGAGTCCATTATGGTCTATAGGGTTGAAAGGGTTAACTTAGTGTGATGGTTAATTTGATGGAGAATGGTCAGTTATAATGACCGGGGTTTTGTCAGAGATGGTCATTCTGAGCTCAGATTCAAGCAATGGTCACGTTAACCTTAGAAAGATCTAAGTGCATTCTGAAGATAATAGTTGAGTCGTATCTTACCTGGAAGGCCAAGATGAAGTAGAGGAAAAACACGAGATAGATGATTCGGTAGATGACCACGTCTTGTATAGAGATGAGCAGCAGCATCCCAGCGCACACAAATATCCAGTACTTAGACAGCATTGACCAGATATAGGTACCTAGAGGGACACAAATATCCAGTACTTAAGACAGCATTGACCAGATATAGGTACCTAGAGGGACACAAATATCCAGTACAAAGACAGCATTGACCAGATAAAGGTACCTAGAGGGACACAAATATCCAGTACTAAGACAGCATTGACCAGATATAGGTACCTAGAGGGACACAAATATCCAGTACTTAGACAGCATCGACCATATATAGGTACCTAGAGGGACACAAATATCCAGTACTTAGACAGCATCGACCATATATAGGTACCTAGAGGGACACAAATATCCAGTACTAAGACAGCATCGACCATATATAGGTACCTAGAGGGACACAAATATCCAGTACTAAGACAGCATCGACCATATATAGGTACCTAGAGGGACACAAATATCCAGTACTAAGACAGCATCGACCATATATAGGTACCTAGAGGGACACAAATATCCAGTACTAAGACAGCATCGACCATATATAGGTACCTAGAGGGACACAAATATCCAGTACTTAGATGGCATTGACCATATATAGGTACCTAGAGACACAAATATCCAGTACTTAAGACAGCATTGACCATATATAGGTACCTAGACGAACACAAATATCCAGTACTAAGACAGCATCCACAATATATAGGTACCGAGAGGGACACAAATATCCAGTACTAAGACAGCATTGACCATATATAGGTACCTAGAGGGACACAAATATCCAGTACTTAGATGGCATTGACTAGATATTGGTACCTCGAGACACAAATATCCAGTACTTAGACAGCATTGACCAGATATAGGTACCTAGGGGGACACAAATATCCAGTACTTAGATGGCATTGGCTAGATATTGGTACCTCGAGACACAAATATCCAGTACTTAGACAGCATTGACCAGATATAGGTACCTAGGGGGACACAAATATCCAGTACTTAGATGGCATTGACCATATATAGGTACCTAGAGACACAAATATCCAGTACTTAAGACAGCATTGACCATATATAGGTACCTAGAGGGACACAAATATTCAGTACTTAGACAGCATCGACCATATATAGGTACCTAGAGACATAAATATTCAGTATTTAAGACAGCATCGACCAGATATAGGTACAAGGAGACACAAATATCCAGTACTTAAGACAGCATTGACCATATATATAAAAGGTACCTAGAGGGACACAAATATCCAGTTCTTAGACAGCATCGTCCATACATATGTACATAGAGACAGAAGTATCCAGTACTTAGACAGCATTGACCATATATAGGTACCTAGAGACACAAATATCCAGTACTTAGACAGGTTTGACCAGATATAGGTACAAGGAGACACAAATATCCAGCACTTAGACAGCATTGACCAAATATAGGTACCTAGACGAACACAAATATCCAGTGCTTAGACAGCATCGACCATATATAGGGACCTAGAGACTCAAATATACAGTACTTAGACAGGTTTGACCAGATATAGGGACCTAGAGACTCAAATATACAGTACTTAGACAGGTTCGACCAGATATAGGTACAAGGAGACACAAATATCCTGTACTTAGACAGGATCAACAATGTATAGGTACCTAGAGACTCAAATATACAGTACTTAGACAGGTTCGACCAGATATAGGTACAAGGAGACACAAATATCCTGTACTTAGACTGCATTGACCTGATATAGGTACCTAGACGAACACAAATATCCAGTGCTTAGACAGGATCAACAATATATTGGTACCTAGAGACTCAAATATCGAGTACTTAGACAGCATCGACCATATATAGGGACCTAGAGACACAAATCTCCAGTACTTAGACAGCATTGACCAAATATAGGTACCTAGACGAACACAAATATCCAGTACCTAAGACAGGTTTGACCAGATATAGGTACCTAGACGAACACAAATATCCAGTACCTAAGACAGGTTTGACCAGATATAGGGACCTAGAGACTCAAATATCGAGTACTTAGACAGCATTGACCATATATAGGAACCTAGAGACACAAATCTCCAGTACTTAGACAGCATCGTCCATACATATGTACATAGAGACAGAAGTATCCAGTACTTAGACAGGTTTGACTATTTATAGGTACCTAGAGGGACACCAAACTCCAGTGTTTAAGACAGCATTGACCAAATATAGGTACCTAGAGACTCAAATATCCTGTACTTAGACTGCATTGACCAGATATAGGGACCTAGAGACTCAAATATACAGTACTTAGACAGGTTTGACCAGATATAGGGACCTAGAGACACAAATCTCCAGTACTTAGACAGGATCAACAATATATAGGTACCTAGAGACTCAAATATCCAGTACTTAGACTGCATTGACCAGATATAGGTACCTAGAGACACAAATATCCAGTACTTAAGACAGGTTTGACCAGATATAGGTCCATTGATATGGTAAACAGTACCAACATGTAGAAATATATTCAATAGCAGTGCTAACATCTTCAGTGTCAAAAATAAAGTTGGAGATTTCTTCTTCAATCTGAAACAGTAAAGTCACAGCTTACATCTTCTTTGTCTTATTGCAACAAAATGAACAAATCACCTACTTACCATAGCTACAGCTGAAGAGGGGGAGGTAATTTTGTTGTGACGTATCACCTATTCACAATATCTATAGGTAAAGAGGGGAGGTAGTTCTGTTGTGATGTATCACCTATTCACCATACATACAGGTAAAGAGGGGAGGTAACTCTGTTGTGACTCATCACCTATTCACCATACATACAGGTAAAGGGGGGAGGTATTTCTGTTGTGACTTATCACCTATTCACCGTACATACAGGTAAAGAGGGGAGGTAACTCTGTTGTGACTCATCACCTATTCAACATATCTATAGGTAAAGTGGGGAGATAACTCTTTTGTGACTTATCACCTATTCACCATATCTACAGGTAAAGTGGGGTGATAACTCTGTTATGACTCATCACCTATTCACCATACATACAGGTAAAGAGGGGAGGTAGTTCTGTTGTGACTTATCACCTGTTCACCATATCTATAGGTAAAGTGGGGATAAACTCTGTTGTGACGTATCACCTATTCACCATATCTACAGGTAAAGAGGGGAGGTAACTCTGTTGTGACTCATCACCTATTCCACATATCTATAGGTAAAGTGGGGAGATACCTCTGTCGTGAATTATCACCTATTCACAATACATACAGGTAAAGAAGGGAGGTAACTCTGTTGTGACTTATCACCTATTCACCATATCTATAGGTAAAGTGGGGAGATAACTCTGTCGTGAATTATCACCTATTCACAATACATACAGGTAAAGAAGGGAGGTAACTCTGTTGTGACTTATCACCTATTCACCATATCTATAGGTAAAGTGGGGAGATAACTCTGTTGTGACTTATCACCTATTCACCATATCTATAGGTAAAGTGGGGAGATAACT